TGGGTTTTTTCCCCCTACACTTGTCTGCTCAGGCCTCCTGCAGGAGCACAGCTCTACCTTCCACGGTGACGCTGAAGGAGTGCGTCGTGTAGCCGTGAGCGTTGGAGGCGCGACACTCGTACTCGCCGTCATCCGTCTGCTCCACGCTCTGGAAGTGAAGCCAGCGGCCGAAGCTCTCCACCTCAGAGCTGGTGTCCTCCAGAGCTCCATCCTTCTTCAGCCACTCCACCTTAGGGGTTGGCCTGCAGCAGGAGGAGGAGGAGGAGGAGGAGGAAGAGGAGGAGGAGGAGGAAAGATGAAGAAGGAGAAGACAGAGAAAAAGAAAAGAAGTAGAAGAAGGAGGACGAGGAGATGATGGAGGAGGAAAAAAAGAAGGAGAGGACAAGAGAGAAGAAGGAGGAGATAACAAAGAAGAAGAGAAGAGGAGGAGGAGGAGGAGGTGAGGAGGCGTGTGACTGATGGAGGACGTGAGAGCTGACAGCAGCAGATTATCGTTAATTGTCTAATTTCCTGTTTCATCGTTAATGTAAATCCATTTATCGCCGTGGAGACGGACTCTCAGGGGAACCAGAGATCCAGCATCCAGCAGAGAGGATTAACGGAAACACGGATCTGTCCTTTAAATTCAATTATTATCATTAGTTAACGGGAAATATCAATAAAATATCAATAAAATAAACAAACACTGAACTAATCCAGTGACGAGTTTCATATATATTCAGTTAATTTGATCATAACGATCAAAAACAATCAACCACCCAGGATGAGAATCATCTGAAGAGTAGAAGCTCAGATCTGATCTGAAACGCTCTGAAATAAATCAGATTTAAACTCATTATATCTAATCAGAAGGTTTTATGACAGAATGTCGGAAATCAGTCATTTAAAAGAAATCTATTAAAAAATACAACGTTTTTATGGAACGTTACACAAAAAGACTGATTACAGTCCTTTAAACTAACAGCAGGTTTTAACTCAACTATGACGATTAAACACACACACACACACACACACATACACACACACACACACACACATACACACACACACACACACACTCTGTCCTTACAGGCCTTTGGGGATGCATTCGAGGGTCAGGCTGTTTCCTCTGAGAGCAAAAACTGCACTTCGAGCTCCAGTCGGACTGAAGAAGTGAGGCTTCCTGCCGTGAGCGACGTCGTTACCTGAAGAGACAAAACCAGAACAGAGTCAACAGCTCCTCACACTGACCCAAAAGTACAGAAAAACTATTAAAAAAAAGGCTAAAATGTCCAAAAACTGCTTCACAATGATTTAAAAGACAATCAAATCAAATTAAATTTATTTGTAAAGTATTAAATAACAGTAATCTTGGTTTGGTGTGTTCACTCTGCCTGACTGACTGTCACATCTTCACATGTTTCATTTGGTCATATTTAATAAAGAATCATTTCAGTGTTTATCGTGGTGTCGTGACCTCCTGAGCCAGGTCAGGACAAACCGGTGTGTTATATATAAATAATAAAGCATTAATTACATGCTAAAGGTAAAAAAACAACAACAACCAAAAACCATCAACAGCCAGAAATAACCTCATACGTGTGTTTTAGGGACTCACTGTGACGTCAAACTGTCATTTCAACATTAACCTCCGTGATCTGCCGTTCTCCGACCGACTCCTGTGGCCTGTTTGTAGCGTGTGGATCTTACTGGGCAGCACCGTGAGCGTGTTTCTGGC